AAAAAAAAAAAAAAGAAAAAGAAAGGAACCTCGTGTGATTGGAAACCAAATCTCTCTCAGAATATTAAATCTTGCCTAATCTACTTTTTCCAAGGATGCGGAACCCCTGCCCCTCAACACAGAAGCAGACACACATTTCTATTTTTTTTGCATAGACAATAAAAAATTAGATTCTCAAATGCTCAGTAGCTTGTTGCTACTCTGCAGTAGCAGCTGTGTCACAGTAAGTGCCCGCCAACACTATGTCGCTGTAGCGATGAGCTACAAATGAAAATTCAGAATGTGCCCAATCAGTAAAAGGTTCTTCCCAAACCTACTGAACTTAAATTTTGAGAGACCCAGTAGAGACGAAGTGCTTCAGCACAGCTTCCTGCTTTTTACTGTCCAAGGAGAGACGGTTCATAACCAATGTTGCCCTTGAAACTCCTTCAAAAGGGGAGAAGTTACTGCAGAGCCTCTTTTTAGCAATTTACATTAGCTTCCTTGTGGTTTTGACAGGAGAATCTGTTAAAAACCGTTTGTTCTGTCCCCTCCTTTTTCACACTTAGCATTTTCCATTCCCTATACTTGTGCCTTGTGCAAGAGTGAGAAAAGGAGAAACGTATCGAGAAGGCAGTATTTCTCACTTTTCTCTTCACCAAAGAAGAAGAAAGCATTTGGGGCCTCTTGGTTGGAGGCCAGTTCAGTACTTCTGATTCAAGCAAAAATTCCCATCAAGGTCAGTCATGTTGAACAAGGTGCAATTCATGACAGTTACATCCAGCAGGCATTTTACTAGAGTAAGAAACTTCAAGTGGGGCCTTCTGTGTGTTTAGTTTAAGATGAGATGGTTCAGGCCATTAGAAATAACTTACATTTTACCTGAGGGAGAACGTCTTGCATTGGAAAGCTTGTCTAACTTTATCCCAGCTACATCATTAGTCCAGTGAAAGATATCACCCAAAGAAATCCTTGCCTCTCGCACAATTAAAACATTGTCATTAACAGGACATTTGGGGACAGCATGTAAATAATGTGGCCCTTTTATTTTTGAAAGGGGTTCCACATATTTTTCTGCCTGTGAATATTGTTTTCAAATCAGTCACTTCTAATATGAATTAAAAATGGGTATGTTCTAAGACTTAATCAGAAAAAAAGCTGCTGCCACACTAAAAGTTACTAAATCCTTCTCTCAGTCTAAAGAGGTTTGATATAAGTAATTGGACAGGAAGGGGGTTGGGAAAATGAATTTTGGCCCACTGTCTGCAAAACCCTGGAAGTTAAAACTTTTAGCAGAAAAAAAAAGAGGAACTCATCTTTAAAGGGTTTTGTTATTTTTATAAAAGATGTTAGTCTAAAATCTTTTCAAGGCGATTATTAGGTTTCTCTCCTGGATGGAAGCTTTTTAATGAAGGTGACTTGCAGGATTACATTGATATTTTAACAGGATTTATTTTGATGTTATGGACAGAAAACTTGTTGAACGTCTTATGTGCATGCTTTAAGAGAACGGGTACATTTGAGAACTTTTAACTAAACCGAAGAATGATCAAATTTAGCATTCCCCAGGGTTCAGAATGTTACAAGCTCTGGGTTCAAGCCTGCATTTCTAGGATATCCAAACTTGGAAATCAGCACATTCTTCATATGCAGCAGTTTCAGCGTTGGGTCTTTAATGTTCACTTTATTACTGCTCTAACCATTGAACCTGCTTCAGTGGATACTCGCTTAGCATAAAAAATTTTTTAATAAAAATATAAAAGTTGCCCTAAGTTAACTGATGTTAACTGGAAGGAAGCTCATCTCTTTTCCCTTTTTTAAAAAAAACAAACAAACGAACAGTAGAAAGAGTATTTTCCAAGTGGAGGAAATTAGCCAAGCTATTTCAAGGTGAACTTGTTTTCCTTTTTCAGGGACAGGCAAAGTTTTCTGTTTGTTTTTGTTCTGGTTTTATTTTAGTCTTTTATGCACAAACACAGGGAAAGTCAGTAGAGTACAACTTGGAAGTGAAGGTGAGCAACTTTTAAATATATGAGTAAGGGGGAAAAAAACCCCTCTTGATCTTCAGTTTCTTTAGAAGAAAGAAAATAATAATAATAAAAAAAAAAAAACTTTTGAAAGGGACTGACTTGCTAAAAACAGGAAAGGTGAGCAGCTCCCTAGCTCTTCCATTCTTTTAAACAGTGGTAAGAAAAAAACAGACAAACCCTGGATCTTCAGCGGTTTTTTTTTTTTAAAGAATAATAAAACTTTGGAAGGGACTGACTTGCTAAAAGAAGGAGAAAGGTGAGCAGCTCCCTATCTCTTCTGTTCTTTCAAACATGAGTAGGAACCCCCCCCCCCCATCTTCAGGGTTTTAAAAAAAAGTAATATACTACTACTAATAAAACTTTTGAAAGGGGCTGACTCGCTAAAAAAGGAGAAAGGTGAACAGCTCTTCTGCTCTTTTAAACAAGAGTAATACCCCCTCCCCCCCAGGATCTTTTAAGTTTCTTTGTTTTTTTGGAAAGAATAATAACAAACTTTTGAAAGGGGCTGACTTGCTAGAAAAGGAGAAAGGTGAGCAGCTTCCTAGCTCTTCCGTTCTTTTAAACGCAAGTAAGAAAAATACCACTGGATCTTTAGGTTTGTTTTTGTCTGTTGAATGAATAATAATAAACTTTTGAAAGGGACTCACTTGCTAAAAAACAAGGGTGAGTAGCTCTCTGGCTCTCTTGTTCTCTTAAACATGAGCAAGAGAAAAAACCTGGATCTCTATTTTTTTGGGAAAGAATAATAATAATGACAATAAACTTTTGAAAGGGACTGTCTCGCTAAAAACGGATAAAGGTGAGGAGCTCCCGAGCTCATCCATTCCTTTAAACAGGAGAGCACAAAACTGGATCTTCAGGGTTTTTTTTTTTTAAATAATAATAATAATAATAATAATAATAATAATAATAAACTTTTGAAAGGGACTGGCTCGCTAAAAAAGGAGAAAGGTGAGCAGCTCTCTAGCTGTTCCATTCTTTTAAACGGGAGAGCACAAAACTGGATCTTCAGGGGGTTTTTTTTCTTTGAAAGAATAGTAATAATACTACTAATAAAAGAAAACTTTTGCAAGGGACTGATTTGGTAAAGAAGAGAGAAGCAGGGAGTTTAGCGGGAGCCCGGCGCTAAGAATAATGAGGCTAATGTGTGCGGTGCTGCGCCTGCCGGCTCCTCGCTGTGCATTGTCTGGCTGCGCCGGGCGCGAAGCGCGGCTCGCTCGGTGTGGTGTGCTCCGCTCTCCTCTCCTCTCCTCTCCCGCTCGCTTTCTCTTTCCCCCTCTCTCTCTCTCTCTCTCTCTCTCTCTCTCTTTCTCTCTCCCTCTCCCCCCTCCCTCGCTCGCTCTCTCGCCCGCTCGCTCTCTCTCTCTTACACTGCCAGCCCCTGATGTGATGGCGAAGAAACCCCGTTGACAAGGCACTGCTTTTTCATGACGGTGAGTTTCCCTTTGAGTGTATTATAATTTTGTGATAAAAATTTCAAGGAAGAAAAAAAAAACACACAACCTCCTTCCTCCCTTCCTTCGGGGAGGGAAAAGAGAGGGGCGGCGGGGGTGGGGGGGAAATCTATCTCCAGACAGACAGCAAAGAAAAGAGGAGCAAATTAAGAGCCAGGAGTTGCCAAAACCAGGATATTAGGTTTCAAGCCCAGAGAGCTATTGGCTCCGGGGCTCTGTGTATAAATATCTATCCAGCGAGGAGCGGGGAGCCGGGCGAGGGAGACGGCTGGGGGTGGGTGGGTGGTTGTTGGGCAGATGTTAATTCACATGGAAATGAAATATTTATTCCTCTTTTTTTTTCTTCGCTTCCCTTCCCCTGCAGCGAGGCTGTGGCGGCGGCTACTGAGGGCACTTAGAGGGAAGAGAGCGAGCGAGGAGAGAGAGGGAAAAAAAAGAAGTTGTTTCATAAAATAAAAGGAGGAGAGAGGGGGAGAGCGAGGAGGGAGATAAGGTTTCAGGTCCAGGCTGATAGCTGCAGAGGGAAGGGGAGAGGTTTGGGGTGGGTGTTGTGTCGGGTTTTTTTTTTTTTTCCTCCCTCTCCCTCTCTCTCTCTCTCGCTGATGCCATGCAAATGCAGGCGAGGGGGGTGGGGGAAGGAGCGCTTTTAATGACTCATTGATTGAGCCGGGTTAAAATTAGTCGTCGTTGTTGTCGTTCGGGGTTTGGGGTTTTTTTTTGGTAGTATTATTATTTGCCGCCCCCTTGATGGCCATCGGGAGAGAGCTGGGGGAGAGCGCGAGAGGCAGAGGGAGCGCGGCGTGGGGGAGAAAGAAAAATAATCCTTTCCAATCTCCTCCCTCCTCTTCTTTTATTTATTTTTTTGGCTTCCCCCCGCGCTCCTTTTTTTGGGTGCTTTTCTCTCAACCTCCCGGGCGCTGCCGGTCAGCCGGCCGGCGCGGGAAGATGGAGCCGCCGCCTGCCCGCGCCGCTTATTTTTTTTTTTTAATTCATTTTTTAAAATTTCTTCTTAATGCGTCGACATTTTCCCTTTCCCGCCTCCGCCGTGGGGATGATTCCCCCCCCGCCCGCGGGCACGGTGCGTGTGTGTGCGGGGCCGCGGCCGGGCGGGAGCACGGAGGAAGCGAGCGGCGCCCGCCTGCCCCGGCTTGCGCAGCCCCGGGAATGGCGACTGGGCCCGGCTTCCCGGTGCTTAACCATCACGGGGGGTGGGAGGGGGCGCACGGGACTAGAGGCAGCCCTGCGGGCGGCGGCGCCGGCGGTGCGGGGGAAGATGGCGCCGCCTGGCCGCCTGCCAGGGTTTGTTGCGCAGTTTCGCGCTGACACTCGTCTTCCTTCCCCACCCCCGCTCCCGCTGCCGCCATCTTGGGCCCGCAGCGGCCTCTATGCCCAGGCCGGGGCCGCCAAGGGGGGCTCCCTGCGCTTGCTCCGTGTCTGCTGCCCGGGAGAGGGGCGCCCCGCGCTGAGGGAGGCTCCCGTCTGCCCCAGCGCCCGCCGCTGGGGCCGGGGCGCGGGCGGCAAAGGGGCCCGGCGGGCACGAGACAGTGGGGTTACGGCGGGGCGCGGGCTCCGCCCGTTCAGCGGGACACGGGAAAATACCTAGGGGGCGGGGGGGGTCGTTACAGCACCTAAATAGTTGCAAAAAAAGTTATTTGCAAGCTTTCGGACACGCAGGACCTTCCTTGGGCAAAGAAGAAATGATAAACACGGTGAATTTAAAAAGTCTTTCAGATCTCTCACCATTTCAAAAGATTATATCAATGGTGAAATTAAAAAAAACTTCAGGATTTCTCACCATTTCAAAAGATCGATCAACCTATCTATCTTTTGAAATGCTGAGAAATCTGCAAGTTTTTTTAATAATGTACACACACACACACACACACACACACACACACAAAATGGTGAAATTAAAAACATAGTGAAATTTGAGAGTTTTTTTAATTTCACCACTTTTAATTTTTTTAGCTATATTTCTTTTGAAATGGTGAGAGATCTGAAAGAGTTTTTTAATTTCACCCTTTTTAATTGCTCTTTTTTTTTTGCCTGAGAGGACGTGTACATCTCAAAGCTTGGAAATAACTTTTTTGCAACTATTTATTTGATCTAATAAAAGGCATTGCTTCTACCATAAGGCTTCACCTGCCTTTTGTGCTGAGACCAACAGGCTGCTGCCCAGATCCCTGAAATAAGGGAGAGTTTTTGACACTTCATTGGCACACACTGGGCAGCAGCATCCTGAGAGGCTGCAGAGCCCATAACCCGGTGCCCACATGAAACAGCCTTGCAAACTCCTGCTTACCCACATGTTCAGGACAATTAACCCTTGGTTGGGCAAGCTGGGATCACTGTTGTTGCAATCCACTTCTTGGTAGATATGAAGGAGTATTTATTTTTTGTGTGCAACTGATACAATTTTGTGCTTTTTTCAAGTTGCTTTAAATGGATTTTTCCCAAACGAGGCAGGCTGCCTTTAATGCAGGGGTGTGCAATTATTTTGGCTTGGAGGGCCACCGTAGGGATTTTGGTGAGCTGTTGCAAGTGGGTGCAGAGGGCGAGGCTGACATAGCCGGGAGGTGGGGAGGCAGTGAGGGGGCCAGTTGACCTTACCTGGTCCAGGTCTGTCCAACCTGTACTCACTGCCAGGGGTGCCAGATGGAGTAGGCTGGCAGGCGGGGTCTTCTGGAAACCGGTCTGGCACCCCTGTGGACAGGGTGTGCTTGGCTGGGATGGGACTGCGGGTGGGCAGGGAACAGCTTCCAGGAGCGGGGTAGCCAGAGCCCGGATCAGGGCAGAGCTGCAGTGTGGTTCCGGATGTACAGGAAGCAGATCGCAGCTCTGTCCCAAGCTTGGCCCTGCCTGCCCACCCACAATTCTGTTTTATCTGCCTGGCCAAGCATGCCCTGCCCGTGGGGGTTCTGGACTGGTCTCCATGGAGACCCCGCCTGTTCACCCATTCTAACTGGAGCCCCTGGTGGTGCACGTGGGGGCAAACAGCCCGGGATGCCTGGGCGGTGAGTGGGGTTGGGTCTGGTAGCTGCAGTCAGAGGGAGCTGCTGCTGGGAGCTGTCCAGCTGCTGTGTCACCCCTGTGCTGACATATGCCCTGGGGTGGAAGGACTAGCTGTATGAGCTATGGCTCAGGCTGTTCCCTCACCTGGGCTCAGGGGGACCCAGGGACGTGCTGCGGGCTGGATAGAAAATCTTTGCCAGCAATATTTTGCCTATCCTTGCTTTAATGGTAGTTCCATCACTACAGGCTTGGTGGGTTGTGTTTTGGGGTGGTGAACCTTTTGTGAGACTTCCAACTGTAAAATAAAACAAACAAAAAAACCATTAAAAAACCCTTTTCAGTCGCATTCTATGTCAGTGGTTCTCAACATTGTTAGACTCAAAGCACCCTTCGTTAGACTCAAGGCCCCCTGTGGGAAATGCCAGCTCTTAGGTTTTTGCTTGTTTTTTTTACTACAGAAAAATAATAGGGCAGTTCTTCTGTTGCAAGGAACTCAGAAAGCCCACAACAGGTCAGGATGTTTTTAACACTGTAGATTTATATTTGAAATCTCTGGTTTTATCCTCTTAATCATTTTTGCACACCTTAGACTTAGCACTGTGTAGCACCTGCACCACGCTTGAAAGTATCTCAAGGCACACATGGTGCCACACCACCCTGGCTGGGAATCACTGTTTTATGCAGTTTAAAGCATACCTATTAACGTTAGATTTTAAAAGGCGTAATATCCATGCTCATTTTTTTTTAAAGAATAGAATCTAAATCCAGGACTGCCATCTAATACTATGAAGGCATGTTGGAGTGCTTTTGAACATTAAGCCTTTTGAATCCTCACATGTTGTTGTCAAACGGAGACTTTTTCCTAATTTCTTCATTTATGAAGAAACTGGGATATTTGATTAATTTTAAGGCAGTTTTTCGTGTCTGCCTGTGTGATGAAGGATTTGAATTGTACTTCTAGTGAAACATTAAACATTTTCCTAATATATTTGAAAATTTCTCCCCTTTTACCTGTATTTTTCACAGTCCCTCTTGATAAAACCTTGTTGACTTTGATCTGTTTATTAAAGATGGGCCATATTACTGATTGAAAAGTAAATTCTTTCAGGCTGTAAAAATTATATATGTTTGCTTACCCTTAGAATGATGTCTCTTAATGTGTACTTGTGAAATCCATGATATAATGAAATGCATCATTGCATTATTGTGAATAATAATCTTGGGACATAAAGGAATAAATTTATTAATAGTATAGTCTATTTAAATAGCAGAATTTCTCAAATTTTCGGTAATGGCTAAAGAGACCCCTTGTAGATTATTGTACCAATGTGTGCAAATTAAACCAAATACTTGGTAGAAGTTTCAGGGACACTGCATAACTTTGCTGCTCAGTCTTGCACATGCTTACCTTTGTTTATGTGAGTTGTTTCCTATGTTTGTAGGATTGTAACCTAAATTTCTAACAAGCATCAGTTAGGCATGGTATTTTTTTTAAGATACCATGTTGCTTAGGCTGTTTTGTGTTCTTTTGGCATAAATATATTTATCAGGGCAGGCACCTGAAGTTGCACAATCCTTTTTTAACATAGGTATGACAACTATATTGCTAGTACGCATGAAGACAAAACCATGTTTCACCAGTATAATTTGTTTAGTTCACTGGGTGCGATTTTATTGTACCAATAATCATAGCTTTGCTAGTACAGTTATTTCCATATTAGAAACACTTTTTCAGTAGGATATACTGGTAAAGTGTTCCAAGAGGACATATAACCCTAGGTCAGGTCTGTGCTGCAAAGTTTTGCTGGTGTAACGGTGTTAGAAGAGAAAAAAAAATAACAACCTATGTAACCTTCTTATGCTGGCAAGCACCAAATCATACCTCACTTATTTAGGGGTAATGGCAAAAAATCCCCCTAGTTCACAGGAGTGGGCCAACTTGCCTGCCCCAATGGGGTGTGTGTGTG